GGGGGGGGAGTGTTTGTGTGTGGATGGAAGAGTGAGTAAGCAGACGATTTTATGACACAGGGTCTCACTCTGTACCTTAGGCTGGCTGTGAATTCATGATCCTCCTGCCTTAGCCTGAGTACTGGGATGACAGGCGTGTGCCACTACTTTCATATTTCTGTGTATGTTTGCATGTATGTGTGCATGCATGTGTGTGTGCATGTGTGTATGTGCATGCGTGGGTGGGCACATGCTGAACATGTATGCCGAGACCAGAAGACATCGTGTGTCTCCCTCTGTGGCTCTCCACTTCACTCCCTTGAGACAGGATCTCTCACCAAACTTGGAGCTATTTTTCACCTAGGTGGCAGCCAATAAGCCCCAGCGACCTCCAGTCTCTGCCTTTTCTCTTTGCCCAGGGCACAGGTAGCAGAGCTCAGCTTTCTGCATGGATGTTGGAGATCCAAATTCATGTTCTCATGACTGTGCAGCATCACTCTCACCCCAGCCCCTTATGTTCCCATTTTTAAAAGAAGATGTATGTATGAATGTATATGTGTATGTATGATACATGTGGTGCTTTGAATGAGAATGACCCCCATAGGCTCATATATTTGTATGATTAGTGACCAGGGAGTGAAACTGTTTGAGAAGGATTAGATTAGGAGGAGTGAACTTGTTGGAGGAAGTGTGTCACTGGGGGTGGGCCTTGAGGTTTCAAAAGCCCATGCCAGTCCCAGTCTCTCTAGCCTCCCTTTATTCTTCTGTCACCTTGAGGTATGGCTGTAACCAGTCCTTGGTACTCACAGCGGACAGCTCTAAAAGCAGCAACTGCTTGCTTTTCAGTAAGCCACATAGCCCTAGTCATTGCAGCTGTCATAATCCAAACCGCTCGAAACATCACAGGAGCTCCCGCGCTAATAACTGCTCACGATCTTACTTCATCCCTACTAGTCTGCTTAGTCAGCCCTAACTATGAACACCAGGAGGGATACATAGCAAGACCCTGTCTCAACAATAAAGACAATGGGCTGAGTACCTACTGTAGACATCATCCTCCTGAGGAAAGAGAACAGGACAAAGGAACAAGATCATTGAACCAGGAGGGGGTGGACACTCCAGTGTGCTGAGGAGGAGCAGGGAAGGCTGGAGGGTCCACCCTGGAGGAAGTAGGAAAGGACCATGACTGGCCTATGAAGGATGGAGCGCATCTTAGGACTAGAAATAAGAGGTGGTTGTGGTCCAGCTGTGGATGTGACAGTTCCCAGACAGCTGGCAGTCGCCTGTCACTGACTACCCGTGGGCTCTCAGGGAGTTGAGTAAACACCCCGTAATGGAGGACACTTAAGGAGGCGAGCTCCTCATGTCCAGGTGTGTGCAGCAAAATATACATAATGCGAAAACTACCATCAACTTTTAAGTTAAATATTTATTTATTTATTTTGCACACAAGTGGTGACCACAGGACAGCTTCTGGGAGTTGGTTTTGTCCTTTCACCATGGGGGCTTCAGGGATTGAACTCAGGCCATGAGACTTGGCAACAAGAGCCTTTACCCACTGAACCATCTCCCCAGGACAATTTCCAGCTTAAGAGCATTCATGTTTTAATTTTTATTTACGTACATGTGTGTATGTTTGTGTGTCTGTCTGTTCATGTGTATGCCATGTGAATGTGGGTGTTGATGGAAGCCAGCAAAAGTGATCATATTCCCAGGGTCTGAAGTTACAGGTGGTTATGAGCTACCCCACGAAGATGCTGGGAGCAGAGCTCAGGTCCTCGGAGCAATAAGTGCTCTTAGCCACCGAGCCTTCTCTCCAGCCTGTGTTTAGGTCTTTGATGCATTTTGTGTTAATATTTGCCCAGTTTTGCTTGCTTGTTGAAAAGACTGTCCTTTCTTCACTGAGCGATCTTGTCATTTGAGTCAAGAATCATTTGATACCAGTGAGGATCCCCATGAGGTCTAAGTCAGCCTGGCCTAGAGCAAGACTGTTAAAAACGACAAAAACACAACAGCAAAACCCCCACACTAGGTGTTTCCCTGTTGCTGTGAGAGACCACTGTAACCAGGCCCAGCTTATGGAAGACAGTTTATTTTGACTCACAGTTCTGGGGCGCCAGAGTCAATAACGGTAGCCGGAGCAGGAAGCTGACTGATCACAATTCTTCCACACCCAGGAAGCAAGTGGGAAGTGGGACAAAAGTAACCCTCAGAGCCCACCTGCAGCCATGTACTTCCTCCAGGAAAGCTGCACCCCAGAGGGGTTCTGTAACCTCCCAGACAGCACTGCTAACTGGGGCCCGACTATCAAATACATGAGCCTGTTTCTCATTAAATCCACAACAGGCTGTCCCCTCCCAATTATTTGACCACGTACGTGGATTCCTGTTGAGCTCCGTTTCATTGTGTTTGTCTGTTATGTCTGTCTTCACACCAGAACAACCCTTTTGTCTTAATTAACGTAGTTTTACAGTTTTGAAGTCAGGAATGGAAAGCTACAACCTTACTCATTATCAAGATGGCTCTTGCTGTGGGGTGGGGGGCTCTGTGATGGTCAGCTTTCACTGTCAACGTGACACAACCTAGAATCACCTAAGGAGAACGTCTCAGTGAAGGACTCTCTACACTGACTTAGCTCGTGGGCATATCTGTGGAGTACTGACCTAAGTTAATTGAGATGGGAAGACCCAGCCCACCATTCCCTAGATAAAGGGTCCTGAACTCAGGGTGGAGAAACTGAGCTAAGCACAAGCAAGCGTGTGTTGCATGTGTACATGCCTTTCTCTCTTCTCTTGACTGAGGGGTCGTAAGATTAGCTGTTTGAAGTTCCGGCCTTGTCTCCGCCACAGTAGTGGACTTAAATCAGGAACTGTGAGGTGAAACAGATCCCTTCATCCCCTAAGTTGCTTTTTGTCAGGGTGTTTCATTATAGCAACAACAACAACAAAATGAAACTAAATAGGATCTCTTAAAATATTATGTGTATTTAAAATTTGTTTTAAATGTTTATTTTATGTACATAGGTGTCTTTGCCTGCACGTTTGTGCACCATGTTCATGTCTGGTGCCTGTGGGGGCTCGAGGAAGGCATCAGATGCCGGGGACTGGAGTTACAGGTGGTTGTTTTCCACCATGTGGGTTCAGGGAACCAAAGTGACCTCTGGGAGAGCAGCCAGTGCTCTTAACCACCGAGTCGTCTCTCCAGTTCCAAGTTTTAAGATGGAATTTTACATTTCTAAAAATTGCTTTTGGAGATTTTTGTTTGTTTTGTTGAAATGGAGGCTCATGTAACCCACATGGGCCTTGAACTCTTGCTCCTACCTGACTCTGCCTCCCAAGTGCACTGTGATGCCCCGTTTGCTTTTGGGGTTTAGACGATGATTGACAGTGATGGTACTCACCTATGCATTTTACAGAGGTCCTGGACTAGCTAAGGTACTCCAGGGCACTGAGTAGATACGAGGGCCTGGATTAGCTAAGGTACTCCAGGGTACTGAGTAGCCATGAGGGCCTGGACTAGCTA